GGCACCCCATGAGGGTGTGGCCAGCTTGGATGAGTGGCTGATGGCTGTTTTCAGGCTGGCCACAGCCCCTTCAGGGTGGGGGTCCCCGCTGGAGTACCTAGCAATCCTGGATGAGGGGCTGAGGGCCGTTTTCAGGCTGGCCACAGCCCCTTCAGGGTGGGGGATCCTGCTGGGGTACCTGGCCAGTTTGGATGAGAGGCTGAGGGCCGTTTTCAGGCTGGCTAAGTCCCCCAGCAGGGACCCTCACCCCATGAGTGTGTGGCAAGCCTGGATGAGGGACTGATGGCTGTTTGCAGGCTGGCCAAAACTCCCAGCCACCCAAGCTCCCAGTGGAGGCTGGCTGGAAGCAGGTATCTGGGATTTATTTGTCTTCTATAATTGAAACTTTGTTGCCATGAGCGGAGGCAACAGTCAGCTCGGCAGGCGGGAAGCTTGGGTTCCTCCATCGCCCGGGCAACCAAGCCTCCTGCTTGCTCCAGCTCTGTGGCTGCCGGCCGCCATCTTGGTTGGGTTAATTTGCATATAGCCACTCTGATTGGCCTGGTGGGCATGGCTTAGGGCATAGTGAAGGTATGGTCAATTAGCATCTTTGTCTTTTATTAGTGTAGATAATGAATTTTCCCAATACTGATTATTGTCAAATAATTTATATTTTATTTATGTTGTTTCTTTGTTCATGAGTTATGTAGATATGATATAGTCTTTTAGGGTCATCCACCTTGTTTAATCTACTATTTTATCTCTATTTTTTTACCTATATTTTTAATAGTTAGAATAACTTTTTTCCAAACATATCCCATTGGGATTTTAATTATATGCTACTTAACACACTTGGTCATAAGAGGCAAAAACCTAATTTACTATCTAAGAATATATTAAAAAAAGTATTAATTTTATCATTGAGAATTCCAGATATATGGTAGCTTCAGGTAAGGTTGGATCCAGGGGACTCAAAGTATGTTGTCTGAGCACTGTCTCTGGCTCTGCTCTTTTTTACATGGTTTTAATTCTCTCCTGGCTCTCACCCCATGGTAAGATGGCCATAGGCAATTAGAACTCATCTTCACAGTCTAACAACCAGGTCCAATTTGAGTCAGGTGCTTATTTCTGAGCCAATTACTGTGGCCAGAAGTATAGCAGCTGAAATCACCAAGGCCTAGTTTGGTGGAAATGGTCATGGGGACGAGGGGTTTGTGGGGTCAGCCTCACCTGAAGCATGTGAATGGATGGGCCCTCCATGGGGAAGGAAGGGTCCTGTTATTACAAGAAGTGGGGAAGAGGATGCTACACTAATAAAATCACAGGTTCACTACAACTCAAAAGGACATGGGACTAACTGAAATTTTTGTGATATCTAATATTTGCATTCTGTAACACGATATGTAATTTTTTAAAAACATTACTAACTCTCAGTACAACTTTGTAGTTCCTGTATGTAAGCAAACATGTTTTTATTGATGTTATTTCTAGATATTATATTTTCTATGTAGAGATAAAGTCCCTATTAAATTTTTTTCTCTATGTTTTAGTTTGGAATAATTTCAAACTTGAAAAATTGTAAGAATACTAGGTATAAAGAATTCTCATAAACTCCTTAACCATGTTCACCAGTTATTAATATTTCAGCATATTTAAATTATTTTTCTTTTTTTCCATATTGTTGTTGTGATTGTTGTTATTGTTAGAGAAAGTTGAAGATATCATACCTGTGCAGAAAAGAGATAACATAGTAGATCGGAAATTGCTATCCTTAGAAAGATTTTGATTGCAAGGTTGGCCCTTGGTTGGCGTCTGGAGGCTTGAATTTCCTAAATGCTAAGAGTGGCTTGCTGTGTTTAAGTTATTTGTAAAATCCAACGTAGTTTATGCTAAATACTTGTTTTTCTTCTGGGAGTCTATAATCTCAATATATACTAGGCAGAGGGTGCCTACCTGACCAACCCCAATGAAAACGTTGGACACTGAGCCTCTCAAGAGCTTTCTTGGTTGACAGTATTTCAGGTGTTGTCACAGTTTGGTGCTGAAGGAATTAAATATGTCCTGTGTGACTGCACAGGGAGAGGACTTTTAGAAGCTTGTGCCGGTTTCCTGTGGACTGTGCCCTTGCCTTTTCCGTTTGCTGATTTAGCTTTGTATTCTTTCATAGTAATAAATCATAGCTGTGAGTATAGCTGTGTGCCAAGTCCTGTAGATTTTCTTAGCAAATCACTAACTGGGAAGTAGACCTGAATACCCCTTGATTTTCTAAGCCACAAGAGTATTGTAAGCTAAGAATATTCATTTTTTAAACCTCAGTTTTTACGGGATTTTTCTTTATGTTTAGCTTTTATTGACATAATTTATATGCAGCATTACATATAAATCTTAACTGTAGAGTTTCAGTTTTGACAAATGTACATAACGCATTTAATCCACGTCTTCCCCACTCCAGAAAGTTCCTTATTCTGCTCAGCTCTCCCCTTCAGTCATCTGCTCTCTGATTTCTATCACTGTACTTTACTTTTGCCTATTTAAGAATTTCATATATATGGACTCTTTTAGATCTGGCTTCTGGTGCTCAGCATACATTTTTTCTTATACGTGTATTGTTTAACCTAAAAAATTCACCCATTTAAAGTGCATAGTGCAGTAGTTTTCAGTACATTTACAGAATTGTGCAACCATCTATTTTTAGGACTTTTTCAACATCCCAAAGAGAAACCACTTACTCTCTAATAGTCACACTACTTTCTTACTCTCCTCCCTTCCTTGCCTCAGTCCCAGTCAACTAGTGATCTCCTTTTAAATATATGGATTTGACTATTCTGGACATTTCACATAAATGGAATCATACATTATGGCCTTTATGACTGGCTTCTTTCACTTAGCATTATGTTTTCAGGGTTCATCCATGCTGTAGCAGATATTGTGATTCATTCCTTTTCATAGCAGAATATTCTGCGGCTTGAATACACCACATTTATTTATCTTTTCTTCAGTTGAACATTTTGATTGTTCCCCTTTTTGATTGCTATGAATAATGTTGCTGTTATACAATTGTCTTCAGTTTTTGTGAGGACGCATGTTCTCATTTTTTGGGGTATAGACCTAGGATTATATTTACTGGGTCATATAACTTCGTTTAGCATTTTGAAGAACTTCCTAATTGTTTTTCAAAATGGCTGCACCATTTTACATTCCCACCAGTAATATAAGCGTTCTAATTTCTCCACATCTTCAACAACATTGGCTATTGTCTTCTTTTTTATTTTAGCCATATTAGTGTGTGTGAAATGGTATTTTATTATGGCTTTGATTTGCATTTTCCTAAAGACTAAAGATATTAAGTATCTTTTCATGTGTATATTGCCTATTGATATACCTTCTTCAGAGAAATGCCAATTCAAATGATTTGCCTATTTAAAAAAAATTTTTTTTGAATAGTCTGAGGAGGATAGGTTTTAGTTCTTCTTTGAATGTTTGGTAGAACTCCCTGGTGAAGCCCCCCAGACCGGGCTTTTGCTTGCTAGAAGTTTTTTTATTACTGCTTCAGTTTTATCAGTAGATACTGGCCTTTTCATGTTTTTTGATTCTCCCTGCTTGAGTTTTGGAAGATTGTATTTTTCTAGGAATATGACCATTTCATCTAGGTTGTCCAGTATTTTGAAGTAGAGTTATTTGTAGTATTTTTTTTTTGTCTGTGGGATCAGTTGTTATTTCACCTCTTTCATTTCTGATTTTGTTTACTTGGGTCCTCTCTCTTTGTTTCTTGGTGAGCCTGGCTAGAGGTTCGTCAATCTTGTTTATCCTTTCAAAGAACCAGCTCTTGGTTTCATTGATCTTGATTTCATTAAATGTTTTTGTATGTCATTTATTTTCAATCTGATCTTTATTATTTTCTTTCTTCTGCTTACTCTGGGCTTTTCTTGTTGTTCTCTTTCTAATTCTTTGAGTTGTAGGTTTAGATAATTTATTACCATTTTTTCTTGTTTTTTGAGGGAGGGCTGTAGAGCTATGAACTTCCCTCTCAGGACTGCTTTCATTATGTCCCATAGATTTTGGATTGTTGTGTTTTCATTGTCATTTGTTTCCAGGATGCTATTTATTTCTTCTTTGATCTCTTCGGTAACCCAATCATTGTTTAATAGCATGCTATTTAGCCTACAAGTGTTTGATTTTTTTCATTGTTTTTATTGTAGTTGATTTCTAATTTTATATCATTGTGATCTGAGAAGATGCTTGATATTTCTGTCTTCTTGAATTTGAAGAGACTTTGCCTATGTCCCAATATGTGGTCTGTCTTTGAAAATGCCATGTGTATACTTGAGAAGAATGTATATTCTGTAGCTTTGGGGTGAAATGTTCTGAACATGTCAATTAGTTCCATCTGACCTAGTGAGTCATTTAGGATTGCTGTTTCTTTGCTGATTTTTTGTTTAGAGGATT